GGGGGGGGGGGGGGGGGGGGGGGGGGGGGGGGGGGGGGGGGGGGGGGGGGGGGGGGGGGGGGGGGGCATTCTTCTGTGTGACCCCGAATCAGAGCTCTTCAGTGAAAGGGAACTGTACGATAGGCAGACATTGCCGGCGACGAAACAAAAAACAACAGCAGAATGTAACATCAGCAACAGCACCAAGCAAGTTCGCAATATGACATGCTTACGAACATGTACGGATATAAAATCGCACCTGTACCACCATCGGAGAGAAAAACTCGCTCGCCTCGGATACCTGAGCACACATACCAACAGCCATGGCAATGAACAGGTGTCAGTGACAGTGCTGAGGTCACACGACTATTCGAACGTGCAACTTTCGCCGTGCCTCTTCACCCGCTGCGCCCAACAAGACTTGATTGACCAAACAAGACTCGATTGACCAACAACCTCCAGATATTGCGATGCGCGGTTGACCTCTGTTTTCGTCCTCGGATCATCATGCGATAAGCCACCGTCTCTCGCCCCTTCTACCTACGGTACCTAACTACGAGCTCCGAAGAGGGGATACGCAGAATCGCCACCATCTGCGGTGCATGTCTCCGTTGTCAAGGCGGGAAGGGCTTAACCCTAACCCTAAGTCTGTGAAGAAGCACCCTCTACAGGTACCAGTAAGCACGAATACGCGGGCGTTGTTTTCACCAAACGATACGCTAGTCTGTGTGCTTCTACTCTCGGAACAATGCTAGCATTGTTGCCGTAGGGTTGCCACCAGTACCATGATTGGTTCTGGGAAGCGGTGGTGGCGTGGACCACTCTGCCATTGCCAATACCGAAGAGAAAGACCCAGGCGGTCCATGATGAGGGTCGCCTCGAACGAGAGCAAACGCCAACCTCAGCATTGAGAACGCCAGCCTTTACGTGGACGTGGCAAGGGAACAACGCTAGCCTCAGTCACCTTGATGTGTCCGGAGCTAGCGAGGGTGTGGCCGAGATGGTCGTCGTCGTACTCTTGCTGCTCGAGGGTACGAGTAAGGGGTAGCAGTAGGGTTAGGCCAACATGGTTCTCTGTCCGCACTGTCGGTGTCACGGAGTCTGGGGTGTAGCGTGACTTTGGGTCAGAACTTATAAGGGTAAAGGCACGGGGTAGCATTTGCGTAGGGCCAACACGGCTCCCTGTCCGCATTCTGGCTGCTACGGAGTCTTTGGGGCGTACGGTGACTTTGGGGTAGAACTATGACAGCTTCAGGGTGAGCGTTCGGACAGGACCGCTGTTCGCCACACCGCGGCACATGCGATGCAGTCTGAACAAGACAAAGGCCGATTGTGGAGGATATAAGACGGACAAGCCGACGAAATGTCGTCATAAGCAATCAACAATAACCGAATAAACAAGCAAAGAGTTCGTATCGGCTGCAAACAAGGTTGCACCTTCGTACCACATGCACCTAGACATGGACGGGTTAGAGCACAAGTCAACATGAAATGACAACGAGTGAGATCGAGGACTATCACAACCAAAGCCAAGAACGGGACCTAGGGCTAGGGTTGGAAGGTCAAAGGGGTAAGAAACAGGACAACCTACACATCCGAAGGGAATGAAACGTCAGGGGACATCGCTTACCTTGGTGAGGTGCAGGAAATCCCGCATGTAGTCCCACACGATTTCTAGCAGCCTGTGTTTCGATGCCACAGAAGCGCATCACCAGGAGGACGCGGGGGGGGGGGGGGGGGNGCGTCGTCACCACCGTTGATGGCATACACACCGCAACGTTGGTCCGCGATATTTCACGCAGCGACAATACTAACCTTCGAAATTAAAAGTTCCCGAACAAAATCATGTCCAGGAGCACACACACACACACATATACCACCATCAACAACAACAACAGCAACAACAGCAGCAACAACACTCAACAACGACAACAACAACAACAACAACATCAACAACAACATCTGATAACTTGTACCTCATCCGAAGACAAGGCCGAGAGGAGAGAACAGGATGCAAACGAAACTTTGCACAATAGCCTGCTGTATGCAAATGAGACTTACCCTAGACAGGACACATCCTCGGGAAACGACAGCAGGAAGGGCGCGTCCCGGTCGTTCCCCCGCAGGCGGCTTAGGGCCGACACCTGCGCCCACTGCGCTAGGGGATCGATCGCTCGCGGCCCCTCCGGGGAGGATACGTGCCGTCCCCCGTCGAACACGCGGTTGACGACTAGGGCGTGCCGCTGCCCTGGGACACACTCGTGGGCCGTGATTTCGTAGCCGCCCTGGGTGAACGGCAAAATCTTGCGCGTGGTTTGAAAATCCGGGCACGGAATGAGCCGATGTGGATGGGGGGAGGCGGGGGGGGGCGGGAGGCATGTGCAAACATTGAGCGTAGGATGAATGAGGGTCGTTGGTGGGAATTAAGACAGCAGTCTTGTGGCGTGTCTTTCTACGCATAGCTTCGAAAAAGCACACGCACATGGGCAAAAATCTGACGCATGGTTTGATTTCCGAGCAAGGAAGATGGGGGGAGGGCAGGCACGTGCACACATTGAGCGTAGGATGAATGAGGGTCGTTGGTGGGAATTAAGACAGCAGTCTTGTGGCGTGTCTTTCTACGCATAGCTTCGAAAAAGCACACGCACATGGGCAAAAATCTGACGCATGGTTTGATTTCCGAGCAAGGAAGATGGGGGGAGGGCAGGCACGTGCAAACATTGAGCGCGGCATGAATCAGGGTCGTTAGTGGGAAATACGACAGTCTTGTGGGATGCCTCTTGCGTGTCGTCTTCGTAAGTTTCCTAAAAAACGCACGTGCGAGGTTTTCTCAGTGAAACTAACGACGCTGGGGTGTTCCCACGGGCGTTTGTCGAAGAGCTCATACTAGTCTAATGCCTTTCCGACAAAAAAAACAGACAGCACAGACGATGGATTTACTTGGCCAGACAGTCCATTCCGCTCACAGCTACATCACTCGGGCAGGATGCCGCAAAACTGGCAACGCTATTCTACCGTGTGGGTAGAGAAAACCACAATCCTTAGCACTGAAAATGCTTCAGAACCAAACCAGGTATGGGTCCAGGTCATGCCCTTGAAAAATCAGCGCGCGTGGCTCTATATCAGTAGTCTACGCACGTTTTCGAAGTAAGCGAACGTACTGCATAAAGCATAGAATCGGCGAAGTTGGGTTTCGGGCTAGGTTTACGGTCTGCGTAACCCCTTCCTGGCCTTTCTTCGAAACAAACTTACTTGCTTTGCGTGGGCAGTCCCTCTATACCCCTCCCCTCTCTCCACTCATTTCACCTGTGCCGAGTCGGGGAGGATGCGGAAGAATGGCTGTCCGCTGATGGGTGACACAACGATCACCATCTCGTCCACGCCGATGTCGAACATCACCGCCAACTCGGCTGGGGAAGCGCGCGGGGTTGGGAATGTATGTCACTGGTCCGCCACTGGTCTTAAATTGTGTCATTCTAGCCACGCTAGTTCAGCCGTTCTACCAGGCCACGCATCATCGTTTTCTAGACGAAGGGGGCATTTTTCCCACTACTTACAGTGCGGGGAGGGGGGAGTAACACCAACAAAAAATCGAGACACACATCGGTACCATAGAGTACAATTCGTACCCCAACCTTGTTGGTGGACGGTGGTACAGGGCAAGCATGCAAAGACACCGCGACAGACAACAAACAACCCGACCCCCATCCCCCTTCCCTAAAAACGATGACTGAAGCGGCCCCCCGATTGAAAAGAAGGGCCTAAATGCAACATCAAGTACTTGCAAAAAAATCTTGGCAACGCATGCCCAACGCCGCCATTAGACGCGTCGACGACTAATCAATCCTTGCGAAGGCATCTAGCATCAACAATCATCGCACGGGGCGGCGGCGGCGGCAGGGGGGGGGTGGGGGCACTATTTAGTTGTGATATACTGCACGTGTATCATACGCTGGTGTTACTGGTCGAATCTTGTCTGAGAAGCCAGACAACATAAAAAAACGGGGAGAAATGAACGAGACAATACACCAAAAACAAAATACGAGACCAAATCCACTAAGGCCAACACAAGAAAACACACAACCGAACCTTTGACGTCCGCCACCAACGACTCCTTCGGAACCAACACCGCGACTCTCCTCGGCTTGCGTCCCTCCACGCCCGGTCCCCCCAGCAGCATCGCCGCGCTGAGGTTTCCGCCGCCTTTCCCGTCGCCTCCTGCTGCTGCCTTGGCTGCCGTTGGCGCAGCAGAGGGGTTCAGGAGCGGCGCGAAGTCCAGGATTACCTGCAGGCGCTGTCCGTCCAGGAGCTCGACGGGCATCACGTTGAACTCGTCGAACTTGCGCGATAACTGTCCGTCGATCGCCGGCGAATATCCCGAGGGGGGAGGGGGGTATGGATCATGTGCACGGCTCGTCAACGCGCAACGTTCGGGAGCTTTTGAGGAACACATCCGACGGTTTGTCAACGTGAGTACCACAACAACAACAACAACAACAACAGCAGCAGCAACAGCAATAACAACAACAGCGACAACAACAACAACATCAACAACAACAACAATAACAACAACGACAACAACAACAACAACAACGACAACAACAACAACAACAACAACAACAACAACAAGAAAAATTAACTATTAGCCTTCTTCATACCTTGCCGCACTGCTGGCATTCGAGCGTGCTCTTGAACTGGCCGTACAGACTCTCCACGAGGACGCTCTTGTCCCTCATGCCGAACATCTCCCACGACTCCGCTGCGATGATCGAATCAGGCCTCCCGCACTCTCCATCCTAAACAAACAAAAACGAGTTCATCTTAGCATAACGTGTCACGACGGAAGATTCATTGCTTCGCCTTTATGGCAGAGTTGGGAAGACAATGCACCGGGTAGATATCAGAAACACATTACCCTTTATTAGGGTTCCAAGGTAACCGCAACAACCGAAAAAAAAAAAAAAAACACCCTGATCTTCCGGACCCGTGGCCACAGGCATGCCCTCTCCACTCTTGAAATCCTCATGCGAGTAAGGCAGCAACAAGGCCGCTGGCGAGGGGTAGACAATTGAACGACCCCCACGACCCGGCTGTGATAACCGAATCATTCCAAAAAATTAGTCAACAAGTCTTCCCTGGCTGTAGCTTGATACAGGGCTTCTGGATGACGTGGCGCCCTGTTGGAGTAAAAAAGGCTCATTTTTTTTCTGTGTGTGTGTCTGTGTCGTTTTGAGACGACCACCACCATACACGAAATCGAAACCTCTACGCGAAGTGGCCTGCGCGTGCGTTTACCCCGGCCATGCAAGAACCACCTATAATAATAGCACCACACACTTTTCCAGCATCCTTGTAGTTCCTACACTTGATGAAGAAAAGGTAACGATTTCGCTGTCTAAAAGAGGAAAAATAGGCCCACGACAAAACGTCGCGGAAATGCTCGACCCTCCGGAGGTGGGTCGTTGGCTTTGAGATCCATATCGTCCCAGTTAGTTAGAAGACGTCCCGGAGGGATGATTCGGTTGAGGCGGCATGCGCCGATACCAACACATGTGGTGGATGATGAGGAGTACTTGCTGCTGTAGTCTACATTGGGGGCCATCGATAACAGCAGATTCTTCCGCCGGCGTGCAGACTGGTGTATGCTCAGTGGTAACCTCTTCGTGTCATGATCCTTCAACAGGTCGTCTCTAGACGAAGAATCTCCGATCCAGCATCTCACCGGGAGCGTGAGGTAGGGCTTCTTGAGCACCCTGTTCAGGTCCTCGTGCAGTCCGTCCAGGAGGAAGGACAGGACCTCCTGCGAGTCCTGCTGCGAGTAGCCGTTGAACTGCGGGGCGAACTTCGCGATGGCGCTCTTGAGGCCCGAGGGGGACACCGAGCTCCCGCTGCCGAACCACAGCTCCTGCCGCGGGCCAGGAAACAAGTCCTCGCGTCAGTTGGACCGCTACTCAGCAGGGAGCGGAAGGGAACTTTTTGGATGGGAAGACAACAACAATCCCCTTCGAGTGTGGTTACATCTCCAACGTGTAGTCTCTCTTTGATGTACTCTTTTTTGGGTTGAATTTTCTAGAAACAACGACGACAGATTGGCCGCATTTGTTGCGGTTGAGAGGGAGCGAGAGAAAAAGAGAGAGAGAATGGCATCACGCTGGTTAATCGTTCGTCTCACCTTAAGCACTTGTTCGTAGGCCTGGACAAGTCGCCCGCCCGTCCCTGACGAAACGAAAAAAAAAAGAAGAGTAACATGGTGATGATCTCTTACAAGGGTGTAGAGAGGAAAAGCTGTGTTGTACCAGGAAATTGGGTACACGCATGTTGTACACAAAAAAAAAGCCATGGTCGGCAGCAGAACACGTTGCATATGCATTACACATAGTGTCAGCCTGTACACTGGGACAGAAAAACAGGAACCGGGACCGGAGCACGCGCATACGCACCCAACCAAATCTGTTGGCCCGACCGGCGTGAAATAATTTTCTTCCGATCCAAAAGATGGTGGTACTTGCGCAAGGCGGAGGGGGGTGCAACACCATGAAACATAAAACAGCCAGGGTACAAGCTACGGAGCGAGCCCGCGAATCGAAATGGTCTTGAAGCTGTTATTTGCTCAAGACGTGTCGCCAAACCGAAAAACACAGCGCGTGCTCATGGCGGACGGCCTGGGTACCGTTTACCACGAACCAAAATACGGTTTTGTTCCGTGTCCGACCAACCATTGTTGTCGGATTACCTCACAAAAGAAATAACCGAGACACAGGAGAGCGACCTATGACTTCTCACCGAGTGGGTTGGTAAGGTTTAGGTCTTCCTGGAAGGCGTTGCTGAGGACGTGTCTCGTGAGAGGCTGGACGTGGCTGAGGCACTGCACGGCCGAGTTGAGGAAGCACGTGTTTCCCAGGTTGTCCAGGCCCGCCTTTCCTCTAGGCTCCCACCGGCATCCACAGACGAACAAAAAACAAGAGCAATTACATTGTTTTCATCGTGGACGTTTGTATTGATGAAATCGGAGCTGTTGTTCGTTTTCGCTTGCTCTCTCTCTTTCGCTGCCTCTCTGCCTCGTATACTCCTGCAAAAACAAAAAAACAAAAAACTACAACGTGACACTAAACTTGAACAACCCACAAAACGGTCCACAATTTCTTCAGTTCCGCTTTCATCCGTCTAGACACCAACAGTGGCGTGTAGGAGAGCGCCCAAACCCGCTTTTTTGGTGTGAGAATGAGAACCGTTTCTTCGTAAGCTCCCTAAATTCAGCTCAAACCTGGCAGTACGGTTGCACACAACATCAAAACCGGAATCTCGCGAAAAAAACGTGGGTGTTTAATGCTCAAGACTTGTCAACAACGAGCCTCCTTTGGAAGGTATGGGCCATGAAGCAGCTTTTCTGTCCGACAGCGGATCGTGACACGGAACACGCAAGACCGAGCGGTAGAGAGATGTTCCGAGCGACGGTATACAAGCCGAAGGGAGAAAAATAAAAGTAAAACTTTGACAAAGAGCGGGAGGAGTTGTTGTCGCGCAGCAATTACTTGCATCGGCACGCAGGCAAGTTCGGCATTGGTCCCTCCAGGGTTCAAAGATGCCCTCCATCGAGCAGCAAAAGCTGACTGTACGTTTCTCCATGTCATAATCATCATCCGATTCGACGAACGATTCGATCCACAATAATCCTTCACCTCTTGGCCAGCGACAGCCCGGTTCCCGAACCCTTGCCGCCGCAGAACTTCTTGTGAAACCTCCAGTGGGCCTTCTGGCAGGCCGGGGAGCAGTAAGACACCCTGTGCTGCGTCTGCATCGGGGACAAGTTGGTTTGTTGATGTACAAGTTGGTTGATTGGTTGATCGATCTAATGGTGCACCGTGTCAAGGAATATTGCTTGACTGCTATGCCAACTTGGGGTTGGGAAATGTTTTCTGCATCGTTAGTGTTGTCAGGGTTGTGAAGGTGCTGCTTAGAGGCAATAGACGATTACAACAACAACAACAACAACAACAACAACAACAACAACAACAACAACAACAACAACAACAACACATTTTTTCAACAGTGTCATTGCAGCCCAGCACTTGCCACAACCCGTATCTGTGCGCTCGTTCGCGCTGATTTCCGCAAATTCACTCGCCTACAGCCCTTTCGGACAGCAGGAATCGCCGACGAAAAAAGAGCCGTCAAACCGAACAAGGAATAAGCCGCCCAACCACCTACTTCCGTTGCCCCAACCAAGCATTAAGCGAACGGTGGCTACAGCAATAACAAAGCGCACAACCAAGAGAAACGGCCAAACCACCAAGGAAAGAGAGAGACAGACAGACAGAGACAGAGAGAGAAGGGGGGGGGGNAAGTTCAATCCAACCTGATGAGATTAGTCCGAGACAATAGTCATCCTAAACCAGAAGAGACGTTTCCAGTGACGCGAGCCCTGCCTCACCTTGGAGCATGAGGTGCACTTCTTCTTGCAGGGGGCTCCGCACGCCGCGCAGGGGTACCACGCATCTCCAGTCTTCTTTGTCTTCTTGTCTACACTACCGTCCCCCTTCCCCTCTCCGCCGCCCGCCCCCTCCACCTGCACGCCACCACCGGTACCGCTGCCGTCGCCGCCGCCACTGCGATTCTCCTGTGGCCCTTCCGCTACCGCTCCTGGTGGTGCCGGCGATGCTGCTTCCGTCGGTGCTGGCGGTGGCCCCGTCGATTCTCCCCCTTCCCCATTTCCGTCAACGGAACCCCCGGTGTCTTCTTTGCTATCAGCTGCTGCTGCTACTTCTGCCACAAGAGGGTTCTCTTCGACGGGACTACCGTTGGCGATAGGACCGTCTTCTTTGTCGCTAGCAAAATCCTCGTTAGAAGGGGCGTCGTCGTTGTTGCCAACAATGCCACTGCTGCACACAGTGGCTGATCTCAGGACCGGATCTAGTCGTGAAAACTCCTGAATATTAGTCGGAATTGAACAGGGGAGGACATGGAAAGGAGCAAGGAGAGCGTGCGCGCGCGCGGGGGGGGTGGGGTGGGATGAAAACACACAAGGAAACGATGGTTACGCTTCTTCGACCAATGATGACCATGTCTTTGTAGGGCCCTCGTCCAGAATGCAAGTGGGCGAGAGAGGCGTTCGTGGTGACGGGGGTGGGATCGGCGGGATACTCCGATACTGCCAACCTATGAGTGACTACTGCGAGCATCAAACAACTCGTCGATGCCGACGGTACACCAAGTAAAAACAGTGGGCGTATCACACCCAACAACAAGCACCAACAAACATGAACAACGTACGATAGCCAAAGCCAACCACCTTACCACGACTACTGTACCAACACAAAACGAACACTATGTTAAACTAGCATGCCCACACCTCCAACTCAACGGTGTACTTTAATGTAGTAAAATACACATAAACACCACCCGACGACGCGGGTTCGAGTGTCCTACGTCCCCCCGCGTTACCAAAACAAAGAAATGACGTCGCAATCTCTCACCGGAAAGAGCTGGGGCTCGTACACGACACGCCCGGAGTCGCTATCTCGGATCGGCACCAGCGCTCTTGGCAACGCGGGCCCCCCACCATACCTGCATCGCGTTGCATTGCGTTGTTGGGTCGGGGGTGGTACACGGGGGCGGGGCAGCCGGTAGGATGCAATTGCAACTTGTTTTGAGTTGTGTGGCCACTCCCTTGACAACTCAACTCTTGCGAAAATGAGTCATTATGTAGGGAAATAGTAAAAAGGGGGTACAACTGTATTCGTCGCTTGCCAAAGTCGTTTGACCATGGACAATGCACTACACACGACAAGGGGCCACGTCGATCCTTGTCCTATTGTGGTAGAGATGCCGCCAACGCTCGGACGCCTTCTGCCCTACTTTTCTGCCATAGGTTGGGGGGGAGGTTTGGAATGGGTGGTGGATGAATTATGCGAACATGCGTATGTGTGTGAGGGCACAGCGAGCATTGAAACGAAAATTTGTTACTTCTGACTCTGGCACAACAGCGAATTCAAGACCACTGTTACATAGGAACAGCACGACCAGCAGTTGACAACCCTAAGACAACATGCTTCGCTTACCCTGTTACCATGTATGTAGTGGATGAAACAAGGGGGCAATCCGATCACAGCAAGAGACATGACAACATTTCGAGGACGACAAACGACGCACACCGCACGACACAAGAGAGATATGACGCAAATAGGAAGGAGAGACAGACAGACAGACAGACAGACAGCTATCGTGAAATCGAGACACTTACAGAAACAGAAAAAAAATGGGGACAACCAACAACGGACACGCTGAACAAACAACTCACCACGCGTGCAGAGCAATCCAAGCCTCCTGCGGCACGAGGACAAAGTGGTAACCCCGAACAAGACGCAAGCGGAGGCGTCGCCCCGTCCCGGGGATGGTTCCCGGTGTCCCCGCATCCAAGACCAGCTCCGAGTTATCGATTGGGCCAGGGTGTGCTGCGGGGGGTTCGACTCGTTGCGGAGTTGCTGGTTGGTTGGATGCGCGAGGACGCGAGAAGGAAAGTGTCGGCCGTCAGTCATGTTGGAAAAAACACCGGAAGATTTGTTGCATCAGAGGTTTTATCCGGATGATGCGTCGCTATCCTGGAGGAAGGCGCGTGGCGATCGATTGTGCACACGCCGAGATTAGCGACACCGGCGCCAGCACGAGCCCCGCCACAGTGAACACACAAAAAAAAACTATCAGAACCGACAGCCCAGTTCCCGCCACCGGCTGAAAATTACCAGCAGGTAAAACCAGGAACATTATTCTCGACACCGTGAAGATTATTCCCAGGACCAGCGTCCCCAACCCCACCTGCCTAAACCAACGCCACACTGCTACAAACACCAACCACCCTCCCCCCGCTGCGTGCAAAGTTCATGTCCAGCTGCTGCTTGATCCTTGCGAAACGTAGCCTGATGCGGCGAAAACCCGGCATATCGCTCCGTCCCGACATTGCAGGACATTGCAGGGATGCGAAGTCAATGAACTACGGCATGCGATGACATGGGTACACCCCGCCCCAACCAATTCAACGCGCACAGCTACCTGTCTTGTGATGTCCGTTTGTTCCTGCCTCGCCGTCTTTCTCCACCGGCCCCTCGCCACCTTCGCCGTCTCCCATATCGGCACCAGAGCCCGCAGACGCAGGGGGGGGCACGATATTAGCATCACCCCCTACCTCCTCGGTGCTTTCGTCTTCTCCCGCCGTCGTCTCTTGTAGCCCCCCGCCATCCCCGCTCTCTTCCGTTGCTATCGCCGTTCCTCCAGGGGGCGGTGCTTCTTCCTCTTCTACCGGTGACGAGTCAAGGTCGGCCGCCGGGCCAGCACCGGTGTCTTCCGCTGGGGTGCCGTCCGGGTCTGGCCCCGCTGCCGCCGCCGCCGCCGCCATCGCCGCCGCCTTTGCATCGAGGTCTGCTGTTGCCTGGTCGGCATCTGAGTCTGCTGTTGGTCGGGCGGCAACTGATGTCTCGGCGTTGGCAGCACGAGGAGCGGGAGCAGGGAGACCGGTTGCACCAGCGGTAGCCCTAGAACTGGCAACACCAGCCTCACTAACCGAAGGGTCTGCAGCATCAGTCGCACCGGCAGCATCAGCAGCGACGTCATCAGCGGAATCAGCAGCAACAGCGCCACCAGAACCAGCAGCTGCCGCATCAGCAGTACCAGCACCGACTGCATCAGCAGAACCAGCACTAGCAGAACCATCAGCAGAACCATCAGCGGCACCATCAGCGGCAGCACCAGCGACAGCATTACCAGAACCAGCAGCGGCAGCATCGTCTGCGGCAGCAGTCCCACCGCCACCATCGCCGCCTGCAGGTTTCTCTACGGTGCCGCTACCAGCTTCGCCCGCGGCATGCGCGTGCTCGTAGCACCCCGTGTAAAGCTGCCACCTTTGCCACCACCTCTTGTCCAAGACCGCCCAAATGTTACCCTCGCAATCCTGCGTTTCTCGGTCCGCACAAACAAGAGAATGACGACACACGACAGCACAAGCGAGCGAGAGGGATAGACAGACAGAGAGAGAGAGAGAGAGAGAGAGAGAGAGAGAGAGAGAGAGAGAGAGAGAGAGAGAGAGAGAGACAGACAGACAGACAGACAGACAGACAGAGACAGGGGAGAGAGAGAGAGATAATGCGAGAGAGATGGGGGACAGGGAGAAAGAGGGAGGGATAACTCAGAACAAGGTAGGCGGCACAACAACGAGTCAAAGCTCTTGATCCTCTGTGCTGGGCCATCGCTGTTTGCCGGGCTGTTTATTGCAGTTGCTCCTAGCGGTGCTGTCATCGGCCGCAGTACGAACATAAACGACGAAAGGGAGAAAAGCGCAAGCAACGCCGTCTACAGAAACAGTGGTAGCACTGCGACTCGCGGCACACCTTCTCCTCTTCCTGCGCCACCAGCCAGCGAATAAGCTGCGCCTGCGCCTCCGGCGGCGGGGCTTCGCCAATCTCAAAACCAACCCCGGCGCTAGCCTCCGGCGCCGCCGCCTCGGTTTGTGCATCTTCTCCCTGCTTATCACTGCCGTCTCCCTTATACGCGTCTTCTCCTTGTGTTCCGATGCGAGCATCCCCGTCACCAGCTGCATCACCGGCCTCAAACGTGCTCGCAACATCGGCCGCATCCACCTCACTCCCACCGACAGGCCCATAGCACCGTCGGACAGCGGGACCCCCGAGAGCGGGTTGAGGGGCTGGGTACGTATCGCTCTCCTCCTCCCTCTCAGCAGCAGTGCCGTTCTTCACCATCCCCGGGTTGCCGCTGCCCGGTGAACCCCCAAGCCACGGACGCGGCCGGCGCCTCCGCGGGGTTTCCACCCTCGCGGTCACCGCCCCGTCGCTGCTATCACCGCCGCAGGAGCTGCCGCCGCTGGAAGCACCGCCAGCCTCCGCGCTCCTAACAATGCAATCACCCCCACCGCCGGATCCTGCTTCGGTCGGGAGCCAGCTCCTGCGCGAGTCTTGGCTTGTGCCGCCGAAGGTCAGCTCTACCCCCGCCCGTGCTTCCAGGCGAGCTTCCAGCCTAACCGGGTTCCCGCCCCCGCCGGTCCTCGCCGCGGCTGCGCCGGCAGCGCCTCTTGCCCTCCTTCCTGCCGCCACCGTTGCCGATGCAGAGCACGCCGACGTCGAAGCCGCCCCCCGTACCGAAGAGTTGGCGCCACCGCAACCGCCAGCAGAAGGCCTGGAGTCAGCAGCGCCGCCGTTGTTCTTGCTGCTGCTGGTGGTTTTGGTGAGGGCGGCGTTACCGTCGCCAGCCTTCTTCTTTCTAGCCTGAGACAGCAGCAGCCGCTTAGCATCCGCGTTGCCGAGGTCGGCAGAGTTTTTCAGATCCCGCAAGGCCTGATTTTTCCACGCGTAGAAAAAACGGGGCGCCGACAACGGTCGAGACGGGAGACGACCCCCCCCGCGAAGATCGGGAGCAGGGGGTGGGGGGGAGGTTGACAGGCGACCAGGAGCGACGATGCCGGAAAAATCGTTGGTCCCCAACTACCACGCATTACCCTGAGTCCCTCCTGCACTCGTACAACCACATACACCATAGCTTCTCGCCGAGAAGTAAAATCTCGCACACGTTGCTGCTATTATCTAGATGGGTGGTCCATGGCGAAGTCACATGTAACCACTAGATTTTACTGCAACCGACTCCTCCCTTCTCCTTTGAGTCCTCACATCTTCGCGCGCCCCCAAGCCAATACGAGCGTGATAGCGCACGAGATGCGCCGCCGACATCGCTGTGTTTTCGACGGAGGTCATCGACAACACCTGCGGCACGAAGGCAAAGGTACAAGAATATTTAGCGTAGCTTCCAAAGAGAAAAAATGTCACGTATGTCGTACACGTAGTCTAGGGAAGCAATGTTCTGCCGCTCCATCAACAAATATGTAGTGCCGACCGTCGTCGCAACGCAGGAAGGTATCTCCAGCCTTTAACGATCACACCAATCTGCGGACTGGTGGGAAGCAGCGGACTAACGTGGCATCGGCGCCGATTATCTCTCTGAGAGAGAGAGAGAGTAAAGAAGGGACGATCGTCAGCCTGGAAAAACAACTCATGGAAAGGAAACAAGAAGAGAGAACGTAATGATGTTCTGGAACCCTCCAAGGGGAGTAAAGGGTTTCATCGAACCCGGTAACAATGCATGGACAAATTTCCACCTCCAGGGACATCGCCTCCAAGGGACGTCGTACCGTAGTATCGTACCTCGTGCGAACGGATGCAATTGAAACCTCCCCTTTTTGCAAAAGCGCTTTCATATCCTGGACTTGCTGGCTGAACAGATCCGAGTGACGCCATGACACGGGCAAGTCTAGCGTGTTGGAGGTTTGTTTAACATTGGTGGGTGAGGGCATGAGATGACTGTTGGTCCGAGCGGCTTTCTCTTGGGAACCGACCTCGCTGGCGTCAGCTTCGGCGAGCTCCATCTTGTCCAGCTTCACGTACACGCGGCTGCGGTTGTTGAGCGACTTCACCAGGTCTGGTCCGCCCAACTTGCCGGGAATCTGTACCAGAACCGTGACGATATGAAAACAACCTGGGCATTATTTTCCCTGGTGCGTGCCATGTAGAAAAGGCGTTTATCCATTGGCAAGGGATGCGTGTCACTGGAAGTCAAGTAGCAACGGCGGGGCGGGAATCGACTTGTAACTGCTGTATCAAGGCTTTGCTTGCAGGGTGATGTTTGAGCGCAAATTGCTGTGAGAGATTGTCCGGAACAATGCTGGTCTAAGCGCTATTCTACCGGCAAGAGGGCTTGCTAGCATGACTACTGTACTGTAGGCCACGCGCACACCTAATAGGTGCTCCTTCTTCACGGTTTGCAAGCGGGAAACAGGCAACAAATTGGTGCGCCATGCGTACGTAGCGGCTTCAATCAACAAGCCAGCATCTTTCCGAGATGCCGCTTCTTCATGCGAACATCAAACCAGTCATGCGATTGAATCACACACGAAACCAGGGACGGCACACAACACGTCGGAGAACATGCAGCCACCCCCCTTCCCCTGCATATGTTGGCGCTCCATTGGGAATTGTCGCACGATCTACTGCTGTAGGTTGCATACCTGCTGTCCGCAGCTATGCCGTGGCACCTGTCGAGGAAGAATTCGGAGGCCTGTATCCAAACCGCCACACACAAACCATCCACAGCAACCTGAGGGAGAATCCGTGGCACTCATCGCCAATCCCGTCAAGGACAGCAATCTGTAGACCACAAGGGCCTGTATCTATGGCTCACTGCTGCTGTTGATGGTGCTGTTGGGGAATACCTACAAGCGGTAGATTCAGCGTGCTGGCACGCGGCGGGTTATCGTGGTTCGAAGACAGCACGCTGTCCCAGGCAGATTTTTTTTCGCTACAAGCAAAGAGAGCGGGTCCTGCAACAGAAAGCAGTACCGAAAACTCCGAACCGAATGACAACAAAAACGATTTTCGATTCGTGATTCAAAGGCGCGCACTCGCCTTCTGCAGGGTGTGGATTGCCTTGGAGTACTTGATCTCCGCTTCGGCGTAGGACTGGTGTTTGAACAGCGAGTTTCCTTCCGACCTGCTCTCCCCTGCTTGTTCAATCAATCGTTGCAGCACCTGCTCTCTCTTCTTTTCGCTGCTCCGCGAGGCAGAATCTTGAGAGGTGCCCAACGGGGAGGAGCCCCCCGTCGGGCCATACTTCGGTGCCACCATCTTTCCTCTCTCTCGCTCTCTCTGCCTGCTGCCTGCTGCGCTGTGCGGCAGGACAGGACACATTGCAACTTGCAAGGGGGGACTGCAGACACGATCAATATTTTTGGTGTAAACGTGATTTCGCGGACCCCCGCTGCCGCGTTTCCACAACTGCTGTAGTAGTGGAATGCAGGATGTCGTAGCATCGATCCGACTGGCAACGTGTGCTTATATCTACTGGAGGGGGGAAGGCGACAGCAAGCAGGACATACAATCGCTCACAACATGTAGGTGGAATTTTCCACACCTGTACTGGTACACAGAGTATTATACATGCTCTTTTTCGCCGACAACAAAGTTGGTGCATCCGCGATCTTCGACGATCTTTTCCATCACCTGCCCAGGTCCCTCGGTCCTGTACCCTTGGTCCTGTACAGACCAGTCCTGAGCGAAAGTATTGTGGATGTCTAGACGAGATACCTTTTGCTTAATGCACGTGCTCTTTAGAGGACTGCTTTCTGGAGGGCCCGCCTTAAGTTGTATCCACTTTCGTCTTGTAGTGAATTTGCAATCGACCTTGAGAGGCCAGATATCGATTGAAGATGGGGCAGTGATGGAGGTCGAACCTTGAATATCTTCGAATGAGAGGCCAGATGGATGGTTGACGTCTTCACATTACGATCTCGACTCACACAGAACCCTCTGATATTCGTGCTGGTTTGACTAACGCCGGCGCCTTCCGTGGGCGCAGGGTACTACCGTACATACAATAAGAGTGGAGTGACGAAGGAAATGGAAGTTCAGACAAATCACCACGAACTCGATGAAAAAAACAAAGACGAGAGTGCCTACTGCGCGTCTACACAGTCAGACCTCGCAGGTGACATGTTCGAACAAAAGTTCAACGCTTTGACAGTTGCGTCTTTCAATTGTTGTGAGCATTTCCCCCCGTTCCATACGGAGGCATGCGTTCAAGGAACATGTTCTCGTCGGGGTGTCGTTGTTGATTCACTGAGAAAGGGGGGAGGTCGTCATGGCGATGCGCCTTCCTTCGGTTTTCATGGCATACGTGTACCCCAGGCTGCCCGTTAAGCTACATTAGCTACAAGTTTCGTGGTGATGTCAATCTCAAGGTGTATCGAATCTCCGGTGGGTGATGCCACCGGCCGTTGCTTCACCTTCTCAATGACGGAGGTTCGATTTGGGAGAGCTACAGACAGTGCCGAAGAATCCCAAACACCGTTGCTGCCTAAAGCGTTTTGTCTATACATGAATCGACGACGAGACCCATAGTCTCGACTACTGTACACTACTATTCCATAATCAACCGTGTCTACCCGTTGTGCTTCACAGTCTCTCTATGTATGGTCCTTGTGAAAAAGAAGCGTAAAAGTAGAGTTTTTAGAATTCGCATAGAATTTGCAACGAGAGACCTGCAACCACAGATTCGCCTCATGAGGAGAGGGATCTGCTTCCAGACGATCGCCTCCCCGTTCGAATTCTGTCCCGTCGTTCGTTGCGCACCAGTACGGCTTCCCTATTCGCGCGTGTGCTTCAACATCCGTAACCAACAAGACATCCAACGTTCCTAATGCGTCATTACTGTGCCTACTTGCTGCGCAGGTTCGACGGTCGCCCGCATGCAGCGTTCGGCGAAGAATGGGATGTCGGAGTGCCACGACGCTCGTGTCCCTCCACCCCAAAGCGAGGGAACGATCGTCTTGTGGACGAGGGGCGCGAGTGGTTTGGACCGTGCACCAGAGGCATTAGGCTCGTGATTTCGCAGGTATGCTCGCACTTCCGTGTTTCAGTCTCGTTGGACTGCTAGACTATTGCTGTCCAAACAGAAACGAAATACAAGTACTTCAAACCTCTTTCCGATACCTCCTCTTCTTCCGTGCCCTCAAGGCAACGAAAGGAATATCATTGTCACCGGCCAGAACAATAGCGAAAAAGGATAACAGAATGGACCCAGGATAAACATGCTATGCATCTGCTGCTATGAGCGCTATCTAGAGGAATTCTCCATCAGGACGCCAGAAAGAACAGCTTCCTTGTAAAGAAATGAAGTCGTAGGGCATGAAGCCGGGTGACTCAAGAGCCTTCCCCTTTACAAGAGGAAAGGTCTGTAGAGCCCATCGCGCCAATTTGAAACTGAGCGATAAGGTGACGCCAGCTGGTAGTGAGAGAACAAGACGGACGGACGTAAAACCACAGCAATATGTCGATTCGACCTATGCAGCACCTTGTCGCGCCGCCGGCAATACACTTCCCACGCGAGTGACAGTTGTCCGGTGCTTTGGGAGGACCTGTCAGCACATGTATGTATGGTACACCGTCCAGCGTAGCCGCTGTGCACACGCCCTTTCCCACTCGAGCCCAGGTGATCCACTGGCGAAACCTTGATGCATCTACGCGCGTACCAATACTTAGCAGTGTGTGTGTGCGAAATCCCTACGCGTGTCCGAAGTACGTTTAGTGCAGACAAAGGCACAAGTACATCTGAATACACGGCCTAGATATGTACAGTGCATTCGGCAACATGGAGTACACGGCTGCAGGTTGTTTTTGACACGGCAATAAGTAGCTGAGTACACGAAGTCGCAAACGCGACTAAAACTTCCACGAGTACAATGAGAACATATTACGGTCTAATTCGCGAAACGAACAGGATGACATGGAGTCGGTTTCGTCTTTGTTCGGGCAAATTTCGGCTCTTAGACGGGGTGGCCTGTCTCCGAAAGATGATGCGAAGAAATTGGACGCACACGTACGGGTGGTCATGCGCATGATGAAGGAGCGGTTGGCCTCGCTGACGGAGGGCCCCCTGCAAGTGAGGCCCACTGAACTACATTGCATACAAGCGATGTATTTGCGGATACCTGATGAGTGTCGCTGGGATTGTCGGCTTAGGCGGACATTCATCCTCTGCTGCAGAGTGTTGCGATTGATGTTGGGGCGGGAAAGACACGGCACTCGAAATAGGGCTGTGTCATGGATGGTGTAACGACTACGGTCAGTATCAATGATATACCTCGCCTGCATCCTCCGCCCCCAACGCTCCCTGGTGCCTCCCTCTTTATTTCGCGCTGGTGCTCGCCTCCGTAGGATGCTGAAGTTGTAATGGCGAAGTATGGCCTATACAGCATCTGCTTTCAGGAGCTAATTTCGATCACTCGCGGGACGAATCCTGACCTCAGGTGCGCCACGGATTGGCTTAGCTTGCCCGGGGCCCTGTAGACTACACCTGTACACCAATTTCACATCTGCTGTAGTTCTCTGCTACTTGCCTGCACTTCGTCCATCCCAAAACAAAAGTGTGGCATTGCTACCGTTCTGCAAAGGTTCTTGCGTTGCTGATGGTGCGCTCACCGCTATGTATACGCGAAACAAGCGAAGGACCCCAACAATTCAACCATGTGAAGGGAGATAGACAACTCAACAAACAACAGACAACATAGACAGCACACGGTTCCCAACTCCTTCCCCCGTGAAAGCAAGAGCAAAATTCTTTTACCGTGTGCGCATGATAGATATTTCCTGCTAGTCCCCAAAACAAGTTTTCGGTCAGGCCGCGTGCCCCCTGTAGAAACGATCGCTGAGTGTGCAAATCACGCACGTCTATTGCTTCCCATGCGAACGCCGTGATGGACGGCTACGCGCGTCCACCTCTTCATCTCAGCTGTGCCTTGGGGAGCCTCCGCGACGCGCACGACAGCCTTCTGCAAGACGTGCCGGGGATAGTCCAACGGACGCTAGACGAGAACCAACAGGTTGGTCCGGAGGCCGGTCAAACCACACCCTTTTCACCCACTTGTGCATGTTCGAAGTATCCGATGAGCACGGTTTCAGGATTGTGGTATTCCGTCAACCGCCAACCCATCTCACAAGGAACAGCGAACGAGGGTCCAAGCTGATACTGCGGTTCCGGCGTTCCACCAGAGCGGTAGCATTGGGCAGATGTTGGCAACGGGCGCCATGAAGTTTTGTCTTTCTAGCATCCAGCACCCAGGCTGAACATTGTCGTACCGGAATCGTTGCAAATCCCAGGCTTGATTGAGCTCCTTTTTGATTATTTTCTCGGAGACGACCGAGGGTATGAACGTAGCGTACCCGGAGCGAGTTTCGCGTCCTCGGGGTGTACCACTAAACATTTACCGCAGGGTGTCTCTTCTACGTGCGTTACACGTTCACTGCAGGAGATTTCCTCTTTACGGGACAGTAAGGAACGTGAGGCCAGAGAAGCCGAAGAACTCGTTCAGGTAAGCTGCTTGCAGCATCGGTGGGCTCATAAGGCTTAAAACAGGGCGTCTTCAAAGCTTTGTTTCTTTGACTCGTCTTCGTGCAATCTGTTTCAAGATTTGTTTCCTGCTGCCAGCAAGCACAACTACAACGTAGCGGTTTAACGGTGTGTATCACAAGCTCTGGCTTCCACCTGAGGTAAGAGTATTGGTAGCGAGAGCCCCTCGTCAACCTTCTTACCCGCACCCTGCTCCTGCGTCGAACCAACCCTTTCCGGTCCGCGGGACTGGCAGGCGGCTCAAGCACTGGAGAGAGAGACCGTAGCACATCACCAGGAACTGAGACAGTTGCACCGGCGATTGAGTGAGCTCGAGGTGATTTGACGAGAAACTACCAACCACAGCAAGCAGTAGAAATTTGAACCTACAAGGTCCGACATGGTTATCCGAACGAGCACTTGCTAAGTCAGAGTCTGTCCGCGAAAAGCCACATATAAGGTAGATTTTGTTTTTTTCGGGGGCAAGGATGTACAGCTGATTGTGCGGTGGGCCAATCTACCTGACAGCTTCTCCGACGAACGCGCTCAGAAGCAAGCGACACTTCGACCGTGACGCCCACCGTAAACAGGACGAAAACGCCGCTCTGAAGACCACGCACGACGCTGGGCACTCCTCACTCCAATCAAGGCCCCGGACACCTCTCCACAAACCGATACCGGACGGGTTCACCTGTTCTACCACTACAACAACGAGGGAAAAACATCACGCCCTTCCATCTGCATCGACTACTCGATACCAAGGAGGAGAAGGGGGGGGGAGGGGTATAACACCCGAGGACGGAGTGACGCCCGACCCGTTCCTAGAACATGGTCGAACAGTCGGGTTTCGCTGGGACCAAGGAGGGGATGGTGAGGCTACGGACGGAAAGGCAGCGTCAACCCTGGCAGAGGCGGTGGCGATCAACGGCACGCGGGAGCTCTCTCTCAAACAGCTTCACGTGAGATAGCTTCATTAGCGGTTCACACACCAAAGGTTTAGTGCGTGATTGCTTCCGGCCCCAAACTGAGCACAGTACGAGGCTGCGCCACAATAATAGCCATATCGATTCATCTCGCCTCGTTGCTGGCCACCTTCTCTAATGCCCAGGCCTGTCTTCTTGTTCTCCGACAACTACGACACGATGGTCTAGCACATTGTTTGGTCTTTTGGATGGTGGCCAATATACGCCCCCCCCATTGGTACGTGCAGGACTTCATCGCTTCAGTGTACGCCTCCAAGGAGAAGTACGACCTTCGTTGCACCGCCCAACGGTTGCCGAGCCAAACCTTGGCCAGACACCTTGACGACTTCCTGGTGCACAGGTGCTTCTAGGGTTGTGTCAGGTGTAGCCAAACCACTACCTTTTTATTCCGCCTGTTCACGGTAGCCGAAGGATGCCTCAAACCAAGAGCTCCCCTATCGACGAACGTACAAGTGCATAGAGTGCTGTAACCATGTAGGGCTTTCGCTAACTATTTGGCATTCAGCGGCGAATTCTGATGCCAAGTGTCTTGGGTGGAAGTTTATTCCCGGGGAGTTTCGGTGTTGGTGAGGGAAAATCGTGTGACAATACGTCGTTAGGCTGCATTGCTGCTGCTTGTTTTAGACAGATGAAGAAATTTCAAAGTGCTGACTCTTGGGCGTGTTTTTGTTTATTCGTCGCAGATACGGGTTGACTTCGATGGCGAGAGCTCAAGCGGCAGCGTTGCGACTAGGAGTCCAGAGATATAGAGACGCCGACAACACGGTCAAGGTGTTCGAGATGACTCTCCGAAACGAGGTGCGCTAATACACCTCGGGAATCGCCTATCAAGGAGTGCACGCCCCCAGTGGCCTCGTTATCGAAACGACGACCTCTGTGTTTACCGTATTGCTCCACCGTGTCACAATACAAGGTTGATGAGGGCTTCCGGGTCGAGCAGCGGAAGCTCGAAAGGACCATCTTGGACCTCCTTCGCGTCAGGATTCGAGAGAGGACAGAACGCCACGACAACATCCACAATTATCATGACCGTTACAGCTACCGCCGTTTGGGCGGTACTAGCATCAGCAAAGTCGCGGCAGGAAACAGCGGCAGCGGCCCTAGCAGTAGCGGAAATCATCGGCAAGGAGGTGGGGGTGCTCATTCGTATTCCGGCGCTGGGGCTGCGTCCACCGTCACCACGGAGTCTCTTCTCCGTAGTCAGACTCGTCCGGGCGCGCTACTCGCTGCGGCAGACTGGCAGGCGGTGGTCCAGCACGTGCACAAGGCAGCAGATGCGCAAACGGTTATATTTCTGATCAAGGAGGCCATTTCGACGCGGGGCAGTCGCAGAGATGGAGTCAACGGCAAGTCGAACTCGGGCAAAGGGGGAAGCGCAGCGGGAATGGGACAAGAGGCGGTGCCGTTCGGTGTTTTTCTGCAGGTTCTTCTCGGATACCAGCTGCATGGGTATCTACGGCGTTTAAAATTCTTCAGGGAGGAGTTTCGAGAGGTATGTACAATGGAATTTCGAACGACGATAGCGAAGTTCCATGCTCGTCGCTGTGCCGCGTAGCCCCCCACACATTGCGCAGTTTAGTCGTCTCTCCGGTGGTTGCGCGGCTGTGGTGCCACCCCCCCACCCACCCTGCCCCGGAACCTCTTGCCTCTCCGTCTCGATCTACAGGTCGACGTCAATGCTGATGGTGTCCTTAACCCCGCCCAGTTTCTGGCCCTCGCTAAGCGCATGCTGCGGCGGACACAGAGAATGACGACACCCTCACGACAGGAAACAGCGCAGAGACACTCCACGAATTGTTCTCCAACGACGCCGGGAACTAATGGTCGACATCGCCAAGCTGGGTCGGCGCCAAAGGCGAACCTGAGTTGTGCAGAGAAGATAGCAGCAACCCAACTGCGGGCCGCCGATCCCCACGGCTTTGGAGTAATCACTTTTTCTCAGTGTGTTTTGCATCTGGCAAGCAGCGTTGGATAAATACGTACCCATGTCCATGCGGATTGGATATCCACATTTCTCACTACCTTGCATCTGGCAAGCAATGCTGGCCAAATTCAAACCATGTGTGCGCGCAAATAAGGAGAGAGGTGTGCGGGAAAGTGAAGCCGCGGAAAATGTGAATGACAGCCATGATCTGCATCAATTTACCAAGAGTAAATAAATCTGGGCCATGTGTTGTACTCCCGATCATCACGACACAATGTCGCCAAGAAAAGAAATGCGTTTTATGTATGACGTGTGTAACCTCGTTGTTGAAACTGATATTGTTGTTTTGTAGTGGTGGTGGTGGTTTTTGGTGATGTTTGCCACAAAACAAACGTCCTCACTGTGGAGGTGCACCTCCATAAAGGTTGAAACTCCCCAACGTCTGTCGAGGACGAAACCCTCTTTTCCACAACGAATGGCGTCGACGAAGAGATGTCAGCGTGCCTGCTTTTGGTTGCAAAAGACACGGGTGGGTTCAAAACCCGCTGCTCACCAAATTTTCTTCCGGGGTACGGAAAAAAGAAAAACGGTGGGTGGGCCAAGAAACGATGCACTGTCTATCGAACTCGAAACTTCCGGCAATGCGTGGCGGAAGTGGCGCACCGGCACACACGCACAGAAGATTGTTGGAAAAAAAGGTGGTTCTACTCGCCGCCAGCCGGTCGGGTTCCGGTTACCCCAAGAAGACTTCTCTTGCCTGGTAAATAAGAAGAAGCCTCGAAAAAGGGGGGGGTAATGTGGAGACCACCTTCATAAAGGTTGAAACTCCCCAACGTCTGTCGAGGACGAAACCCTCTTTTCCACATCACCCTGTCCACTTTGCTTCCACTAGATATATTTCCACATGATTTTCAAAAGAGAGGCTAAGAAGAAAGGAGGAGGAGCAAATTTATTTCCTTGGGCACAAATAAAACAATCCCAAACAGAAAGCAGGGTGGCAAGGAAGGCCCAACACATGTGCTCACAGAAAATGCGTAGACAGTAGATACAGTAGTCCCCCATCTCCCTTGATTGTGATAGGCTGGTCGTCCCAAGCAAACAACACGAGAGCAGCTGTACAAAAAAAATGCGTCATACACGAGCACAAAAAAACGGAAAATGTTGTACTATAATACTAGTCTAGCTTTATTTTCGATATCCAGACCAACCCCGTCCCACGCTCTGAATGTCCGAGAGGGTTGCAAACACCCACCAAATACACGCGCCGGCGAAACAAGGCTACCAGCTTCGTAGACTCAGCAAGCTACAGGATGTACCACCCGAATCATGCAGCCACAAGTAGCAGCCCGCGACTGACCCTACATGTATTATCAGTTGGTTGTATGTATAAAATATCAGAGACATGAGTGAGTAGACGCCTTTCATGCGAGTGTGTGTCGGTCTGGATGTCAAGCGATCAAAAGTGACGGTCGACAGGACCAAAAGGTTTGGATCTTTTGACACACATGTCCAACGTGCCCCCGTGTGACCCACCCCACGCCCACCCACGATCTCCACCGTTGTGCCTCTGGAGCAGGAGAACGTGCGAGGCGACTACAGAGCAAGGCCCAGCACCCCGGAGCTTTCAATATTTCGTTCGCCATTAACAGGAAGCGCTGGCTAGACAAATGTGGCAATTTGTTCTAACTCTAGACTGTGGTAGGAAGAGAGATACGGGGCAGCATGTCTGTGCGTTTGACAAAGTTTGGGTGAGAGGGGCTCCGCAGAATTTTGGATCTTAGATCGCCCCGTCATCGGCGATATCCGCCGCGCGATCTTCATCAGGTCCGGCAGGTGAGTACCACACCAACAGGACCACGCGCAAGTGCATGAGTGTACAGAACGACACAAAGGGCACGCCACGCCGAATGATGAAGAGGAAGAGGAGTGAAGGTCTCTCGCAATCAACAAACAAGAGGGTGGTAATCCTCCTTTCGATCTACGGAGTCGTCGGAGCAAACGGACTGTTTGGCTGTGACTCGGGGGGCTGGGATGTGACACCAAGCGAGGCGTACTCTTGGAGCTATGCACCTCCGCAGGGCTGCAGCTGCGAAGAAACAGGAGTGCCTCTGGCAGATTGCAAGGTGAGTGTAGCGTCGGAAGTCACGCAAGTCACTCGAGATGGCCTTTGGAGATGATGGAGGCACCCTCGCGATAGAGGGAGTGGGATCCAAACGTTCTCTCAAGCATGCACGGCAGATCCTTGTCCTGGTTGAGCGTGTATTCAGCTCTCCTGTACGCACATCTCGCCCAACCTCACCAGGGCAGCGCTTGTCCGAACTACTGTGTTTGGTGAATAGATCGTCGACGAAGGCGTTTATCTGCAGGAGACATGCTACTGCTGTAGTCTACAGCAGTAGACTACTCCATGTTGTACCGTCCCCTAAAGGCTACACTTGTACGTAAGTTCTACGCTTGTGGAGGTTAGAGCCTGTGTGTGTATGCTACCATAAAGCATACACCCCTTTTGTCTACCAATCACCTATTATTTATAGTACACATAGATGCCTCGAAGAAGATCCCTGTAAACGAGCGTGGTGAGCAGTACGATCCTCGGAGTATGTGTAGTGTAGCCATCAACAGAGGGCTACGTAACGTTTCAACCTGTATTTAACTGTCTCCAACCAGCAGAATACTGTATGGCCTCGCTTTGGCTCATGAAACTTTGTTTGTTTGTGGGGTTATGTTGTTGCAATCATCCCTATCCCTATAGTTGAACGAAAAATACACTGAAAAAGTGTCGTACACGTCTCACCTCGAAAAATGGGAGGACTGTCGCAATAACAAGTAGGACAAAAAAACACACAAACACCCCCTCGTCCCACGGAAAGCAGATCTTTGACTGCGGGTGCGTGTGCGATCTAACGGCGGGCCAATGCGACACGAACTGCTGCTGTGATGCCGAGTGCACTCAAACTGAGTTAGAGCGCTTCGCGGAGCTGGATTCATGTCTGGATGAAGGTCCGGCGGATGAGGTCACGACCACCTGCTACTCCGGCGGTAGGTTTACTTGGTGGCAGGGCTGTGAGCGCAAGTCCGATTTACGCCCAGTTCCATTCCCCCAAGACTTGAAATGATCTCAACCGCCGGGCAGGATAGTGTGTACTTTACCTCACATGAATACGTCATAGTCTATGCCTCTCGTAGTGAAGTATAGAGTCGCTTTTTCTCTATACGCTCACATGGGATGGAACTGGGGTCACGGGAAAGTCTTCGTGCTAGCAAGCAAGTAAGCACGCATATTGTTCGAGTATATACCAGCATGGACAGCCCCGGCACCAACATTTCGAGTGAGCGGTAAGTCAAACACGGAGCCTTTCGGAGAGGAACGAGAGGGACATGTGATGCCTCAGGAGGCGCCGGACCGGGTTTGGCGGTTCCGAGGGCGGCTTGGCACGGACATGATGGCGCGAGTATCGCTGAACCCGAAACACGTGTCAAGGACCACAGAGATAAGAAATATAGCGCTACTGTTTGATTCAGCACCTACAGAAGTCGAACACCCCACCAGTACCACGGAAGGAGCCCAGGACACGCGTGTGAGATGCTTCCCTATTCGCGTATTAGATCCAATCGTTCGATTTGGGGCTACAACAAATTATCAACTTCATGATATAGTCGGGCAATCCTGCGCAGGTACATCCCCTTGCTACACGAAATCTCCCGGGCCATGGGGACACATGGTACTCGTCCCCGGGCTTAAGCAGGGTTGGAATCCTGGCGATGAAAGTGCATGTACTCCGGAAGAAATGAGCCTTTTTCGCCCGGCTCTCGACCACAGGCGTCCATTGCTGGGGTGCTCAATGTTTCCCACGCAAAAAGCCGTTTGCTGCTCTTCATCGTTGCAAACTGTATCACCGCGAGGTACCTCCATACTCTCGGTGCAGTGTGGGGTGCACTACGAACAGTTTAGGTCGGGTTTGATTGACAGGATACAACCACAATATACACGGCACTGGGTGAAGGAATGGGGTGCGTTGCGTTGGTCTGGAATGGTTCGGGAAAGGAGAGTGTTTGTCCATTGCTCGTCGAGTTCCTTTACCGTCTTTTTATCGCGACAGCTTTACCCACGTACCAACGTCCGTTTCGCTGTCGAGTTAAACTTTCTGGCCGAGAGGTGGTGGCCGCAAATGTTCCGCCTACATCGAATTCATGCATACCCTACCATCCCCACACCAATAACAGACCATCTGGACAAGATCAACCCAAGATACCCCCTTACTGGCGGGGGTGCTGCCCAAGGGGCCGTGGACGGCCTACTCTGCGTGCAATACGACAACAGTGCTTCTAAGGGAGAGTTTTTCGAGGTACGATCTAGGTAAAATGTGGTGTCCAGCAGCTACAGCAAGCGTTCTCGTGACCGCGGGCTGGACATATACACAGGGGGGTCGGAACCAGCAACGCCACAACCAAACCATCTTCTTCAATACCACAAGTAAACCCTGACGACGAGGTGCCCGTGTTCATAAATAGAAGTTCTGATCTTAGCGCAATATACTTTGAGAAACAGAGCGCAGTTTCGACAATGTTTGTTGTCGTATGTTCTTGGTGTGATTTTTTTGTTCTCGCTGGTCCGCGTCATCACCCCCGACGCTGTTGCATTGCTTCGAACGGAATCGATAAGGAAGGCCCTTCTAAATGCCACGAAATGTGCCATTCTCGTGCACTCTTCAACCATTGGACGTCACCAGTTGTTGACCACTATAACCTCATTTACAGGGGCCGCCTGGTCTTCACAGCAGTACAGCTTCTAGCATTTTGTGGGCCTCTGTTGTTTGGCGTCCCGAAACATGAAACGCCTACAGGTCTCCTTCTACCGAATGTATCTACCCAACATGTGCTCTGCAATATTTGCTACCCCCGATTGTTTCGGCCATCGAAATGCGCTCTCTCCCTACCCCCCTGCCCCCCCCCCTCTTTCCCAGGACCCTGGCACGCTGCCGATATCTATTTTCGGCGACAGCGGAGCGTCCGAGTTCTCGTACCACGACAACCTGGCAGCGTCGACCGCATCGGGGGTCACTGAAACCGACGCCTTTTTCGATACGGGGTGAGGATGCATTGAATAATTTTGCTGGATCCTATGAAAGTTCCATGTTGTAGGACCATGAACACGAGTCCAATTTACCACAAAACGAACGGAGTAGCAGGCCATCGACCCTTGGACCACGCCTTTCTAAGTACCTGGAATTTTTCCTCTCACAAACAGCAAGCTGCCAAGACAACTCTGGCTCAGGATATGCTCAAGTTTGCTTTCGATGCTTCGTCTCATATCTTGCGCGGCTTTTGATAACATGCGAGTGAAAGCCGACAGGAAGGCAGGGGGGCATAAATCTCGAGATCTTTCACCTTGAGAGTATGAAGCATGTGAACAGACTATGCCAACGTACGTTTGAACGCTAAAAGCATATGTTCTTCCGGCGGCAGCTCACGCCATTTTCTTCGGCACATTATGTTCTTGTCCTTTCCGCGGTCGCTTCATCCACAGAGACAGAATACCTGCCGCCTTCCTGGCCGACGATGGCGGTACAGTTGCGGCTTTTGGCGGCTTCTTTCCGGTGAGCGAGTCATGTCGCTACCCTCACCAGGTATTTCATTGAAAATTCGCCCCATGACCATAGAGTCGGAGTTCGGCTTCATGTCTGTCTTGGGACTTGAGTCAAGCATGCCTGATAGAAGAACCCTCTGGTGGACTGAAAGGAAGACCTCTTCCTCTCGATAATGTGAACGACTTCAATACG